AAGAATATTGGTTTATAGTTTAATTTTCTTAAGTCTTTGTCTGATTTTGGTATGAGGATAATGCTAGCCTCAAAGAGTAAGTTGGGAAGTGTTCCTTCCTCTTCAATTTTCTGGAAGAATTTACGAGCAATTGGTTAGCTTGCAATATTCTTCATCACTTGGCCTAGCAAACTTTGTCTCCACTCTTCTGCGTACCTGACTTAAATTTTTATTTGCTGCAACTGCATCACTTTTGTTTCTGATTGCAGTATTTCCAGCACCTAACATCTGAATACTCCTTTTTTGAATTAAAAAAAAAGTTATTGAGGCAAAATTGGTATATAACATTATATCTTTCAAGTGTACCACATTATAATTCAACATCTGTGTACACTACACAGTAATCACTACCAAAAGTCTAGTTACCATCTATTACTATACAATTGACCCCTTTCACCCATTTCACTCATCCCCCAACCCTCTTCCCCTCTGGTAATCACTAATCTATTCTCTGTATCTATGAGTTTGCTTTTGTTTGTTTTTTAGATTCCACATATGAGTGAAATCATATACTATTTGTCTTTCTCCATCTGACTTATTTCACTTAGTATAATACCCTCAAGGTCCATCCACATTGTTGCAAATGGCAAGATTTCATGCTTTTTTATGGCTGAGTAGTATTCCATTGCATATATAGAGTCATGTGTCACTTAATGATGGGGATAGGTTCTGAGAAATGGGTGGCTAGGTGATTTCATTGTTGTGTAAACATCATAGGGTATACTTACACAACCTAGATGGTATAGCCTACTACACACCTAGGCTATATGGTATTAATCTTATGGGACCACCATCATATATGTGGTCTGTTATTGGCCAAAACATTCTGTGGCACCTGACTGTACACCACATCTTCCTTATCCATTCGTCAGTGGACACTTTGGTTATTGTCACATCTTGGCTATTGTAAATGATGCTGCAATGAACACAAGGGTACGTATATCTTTTTGGATTAGTGCTTTCATATTCTTTGAATAGACGCTCAGAAGTGGAATTTTTAATTTTGGTAAAACACCCATAACATAAAACTTACTGTCCTAACTATCTTTAAGCGTACAGTTTAGTGGTGTCGAGTATATTCACATTGTTGTGCAATCTCCAGAAATTTTTCATCTTGCAAAACAAACTCTACACCCATTAAACAACACTCCACTTCTCTCACCCCCCCAGCCTCTGGAAACCACCATTCTACTTTGTTTCTATGAATCTTTGTTTCTAGATATCTCATATAAATGGAATCATACAGTATTTGTCTTTTTATGACTGGCTTATTTCACTTAGCATAACGTCTTAAGTTTCATCCATGTAGCATGTGTCAGGATTTCTTTTCTTTTTAAGGCTCAATAATGTTTCATTGTATGTATATACCACATTTTGTTTATCCATTCATCTTGTCAGTGGACACTTGGGTTGCTTCCACCTCTTGGCTATTGTGAATAATGCTGCTATGAACATAGGTGTATAAATCTCTCCCAGACCCCGCTTTCAGTTCTTTTGGGTATGTACCCAGAAGTAGAATTGCTGGATCATATGGTAACTCATTTTTAATTTTTTGAGGAACTGCTATACTGTTTGCCACAATTGCTGCACCATTTTATATTCCCACCACCAGTGCACAAGAGTTCCAATTTTCCATATCCTCACCAATATTTCTTTTCTTTTTCTTTTTTTTAAATAGTAGCCATCCTGGTGGGCCGGCCCCGTGGCTGAGCGGTTAAGTTTGCACAATCTGCTTCGGCGGCCCAGGGTTTCACCAGGTTGGATCCTGGGCACGGACATGGCACCACTCATCAGGCCATACCGAGGTGGTATCCCACATGCCATGACTAGAAGGACACACGACTAAAATATACAACTATGTACTGGGGGGCTTTGGGGAGAAAAAGAAGAAGAAAAAAAAAGAAGATTGGCAACAGTTGTTAGCTCAAGTGCCAATCTTTTTTTTTTTTTTAAATTGGCTCCTGAGCTAACAACTGTTTCTTTTCTTTTTTTTAATCTTCTCCCCAAAGCCCTCCAGTACATAGTTGTAGATTCTAGTTGTGAGTGCCTCTGGTTATGCTGTGTAGGACGCCGACTCAACATGGCCTGATGAGTGGTGCCATGTCCGCGCCCAGGATCCAAACTGGTGAAACCCTGGGCCGTCGAAGCAGAGCAACCGAACTTAACCACTACGCCACAGGCCAACCCCTCAGGTGCCAATCTTTAATTTAAAAAAAGTAGCCATCCTAATGAGTGTGGAGTGGTATCTCATTGTGGTTTTGATTTGCCTTTCCCTAAAGATTAGTGATGTTGAGCTTCTTTTCATATGCTTATTGGCCATTTGTATATCTTTTTTGAATGTCTATTCAAGTCCTTTCCCCTTTTTTGAATTGGGTTATTATTATCATTTTTTTATGTTGAGTTGTAGGAGTTCTTTATATATTGTGGATAGTAACTCTTTATCAGGTATATGATTTGCAAATATTTTCTTCCATTCCATAGGTTGCCTTTTCACTCTGTGATTGTGTCCTCTGATGCACAAAAGTTTTAAATTTTGATTTAGTCCAATTTATCTATTTTTTTCTTTTGTCGTCTGTGGTTTTGGTGTCAGATCCTAAAAGCCATTTCCAAATCCAATATCATTAAGCTTTTCCTCCTACATTTTCTTCTGTCTTATAGCTTTAGGTCTCATGTTTAGGCTTTTGATCCACTTTGAGTTAATTTTTGTGTCTGGTGTAAGGTAAGGGTCCAACATCATTCTTTTGCATGTGGATACTCAGTTTTCCCAAAAGCATTTGTTGAAAGACTGTCCTCTCTCCATTGAACGGTCCTGGCACTCTTATCAAAAATTGACCACATGTGCAAAAGTTTACTTCTGGACTCTCTATTCTATTCCATAGGTCTATATGTCTGCCTTTATGCCAGTATGCAGTTTTAATTACTGTAGGTTTGTAGTAAGATTTGAAAATGAGAAGTGTGAGCTCTCCAACTTTATTCTTCTTTCTCAAGATTGTTTTGGTTGTTCAGGGTGCCTTGAGATTCCATATGACTTTTAGGATGGATTTTTTCATTTCTGCCAAAAATACCGTTAGGATTTTGATAGAGATTGCATTGAATCTGTATATCGGTTTCGGTGGTATTGATGTCTTTAAAATATTAAGTCTTCCAACCCATGAACATGGAATGTCTTTCCATTTATTTGTGTCTTCTTTAATTTCTTTCAGTAACATTTTATAGTGAAAATTACAAGCCCGCAAGTCTTTCACCTCTTTGGTTAAGTTTATTCCTATTATTTTATTCTTTTGATGCTATTGTAAGTGGAATTGTTTTCTTAATTGCCTTTCAGATTGTTCATTGTTAGTGTATAGCAGCACAATTGATTTTAGTATCCTGCAGCTTTGCTGAATTCATTTAGTAGTTTTAACAGTTTTTTTATGTGTGGAATCTTTAGGACTTTCTACACATAAGATCATATCATCTGCAAACATATAATTTTACTTCCTCCTTTCCAATTTGGATGTATTTTATTTTTTTAAAAAAAATTTTTATTGAGGGGCTGGCCCCGTGGCTGAGTGGTTAAGTTCGCGCGCTCCGCTGCAGGCGGCCCAGTGTTTCGTTGGTTCGAATCCTGGGCGCGGACATGGCACTGCTCATCAGACCACGCTGAGGCAGCGTCCCACATGCCACAACTAGAAGGACCCACAACGAAGAATATACAACTATGTATGGGGGGCTTTGGGGAGAAAAAGGAAAAAATAAAATCTTAAAAAAAATTTTTTTTATTGAGTTAATGATAGGTTACAGTCTTGTGAAATTTCAGTTGTACATTATTATTTGTCAGTCATGTTGTAGGTGTACCCCTTTACCCTTTGTGCCCACCCCCCACCCCACCTTTCTCCCCATAGCCACTAATCTGTTCTCTTTGTCTGCATTTTTAAATTCCTCATATGAGTGGAGTCATACAGAGATTGTCCTTCTCTATCTGGCTTATTTTACTTAACATAATTCCCTCAAGGTCCTGGATGTATTTTATTTCTTTTTCTTGACTAATTGCTCTGGCTGGAACTTCCAGTAATATGTTGAATAGAAGTGGTGAAAGTGGGCATCCTTGCCTTGTTCTTGATCTTAGAGTAACAGTTTTCAGTCTTTCACTATTGAGTATGATGTTACCTCTAGACTTTTCAAATACGGCCTTCGTCATATTAAAGAAGTCCCCTTCTATTCCTAATTTTTTGCATGTTTTTATCATGAAAGGGTGTTGAATTTTGTCAGATGTTTTTTCTGCACCAATTGAGATGATCATGTGGGTTTTTCTTCTAGCATCCTGTTAATTTGGTGTATTTCATTGTAACAACCAAAAATGCTTCCACAGATTTCCAAACGTCACATATGTGGCAAGTAATTACCCCCATTGAGAAATATAGGGATAAAATGATGAACAAAAGAAATTTGCTGATAGACTGTTAAGGAGGGGAGATAATGAAATAAAAGTAATGTTGAAGAATATTGTGATAGCTGACTTCCAGGTGTGAGGACTAGGTAAATAAAGAAAAAACAAGCAACTTTGTTTTAGTTGTTTGTTTGTTTATAGCAGCCATAGTTTATAAAGCATTTTCACATACATTATACACCTCACATCAACTGTGAATTTAGTATCTCCACCATTTTAAAGATGAGGCAGGGGAAGCTCAGAATTGTTAAGTGATTTACTAAAAATCATTTTAACCAAAAGGCTAGAATTGAGATCCAGATATGGTTTCAAACCCAATGTTCTTTTCATTACATCATAACAATGCTAGGATGATGAAGGTAGAAAAAAATATTGAACAATGAAAATCTGAGACCCACAGTAAAGCTAGAATTACCAGGACTTTGATGGGACAGCTTTATAGGAACTGTCATGACATTTTGGGAAGAAAAGTGACCAAGCTTATTGTCAAACTGAGAATTTATTAATATATTCCCCCTTCTTATTCTTATAGGACATTAATATACAGCTGGGTGACATAATGCTCAATGTACAGAAGGTAATAAATCGCTACACTGTTGATGAGCATGTGCACTCTGGAAGGAAAATCTCATTTGTAGAACATAAGAAACGGAGAATGAATTTGCTGGAGAAAATAGCTACCTATGCAAAGGCTGCTGAAAAGAGAGAAAAGATTCTTGTCTACATCTTGGCCTGGCTGCAAGAATGGAGTAAGTTTCCAGAAGTGGTTCAAAGGAAAACCGCAAAGTTAATGAAAAAGTTAGAGAACAGAATCTATAAGTAAATTTTGAAGGATTAATCAGACAAAAGAAGACTAAGGAGGTTATTCAGAGAACAGCTGTCCTCTGTGCCAGTAGGAATAAAATAAGAAAAATATAGGCTTGCTCACTTAATACCAGCTATTCTGGGCTCTCTGATTTTCTTCAAGCATGCCAGCATACTCCTGCCCACTGCCTTTATGCTAACTATTCCCTTGCTTAGTACATTTTCTACCAGGTAGCCACATGGCTCATTCTCTACCCCCTGGCACTATCCTGGCACTCTTTACTCTTCTTTATTTTTGTCTATAGCATTCATTTCTTACCACCTGACATACTATATAATAAAGCTTTTATTTTTGTTTTTTGTCTGTCTGCTTTCACTAGAATGAAAGCAGTATGAAGTCAGTGAATTTGTTTATTCAGCATCTAGAATAGTACTTGACAGAGGAGACACAGGTTGAAAGAAAGAATGAACATGCTAAGAACATACAAAAAAAGAGGAATTTCATTTAGTTGCAAGAAATCTCATGTAACATGGGTTATAAAATACCAGATAACTTACCAAAGGAGTTAACTGGGGTTTAGATCCCCAATATTAAAATACATGTTCACATTTTAGAGACCTACTTCCCTGGAATCAGGGAACTAAACCAAATAGTGACCTTTTAATCTGATTCATATTTAATGTCCAGGATTTACTGTTCAGCTTTCTATTTCAAGTCTCTTCCTTTTTCATTTCTTCATAAAGACAAGTCTCAGAACAGCAATAAGCGAGAGATACCTATATCCCAAAGGCTACAACACTATGTACTTAGCCAATATTATAAACCTATATAGTTATAATTATTTATTTTTCTGCACAGAGTAATTTTTTTACTCTCTTCAAGATGCCATTATGTCTGAGATGACTGAAATTGATATTGATGAACACCACCACTGGATAGCACAAATACAGATTTTACCAGAAACATTCAAAGCCATTGAGAATAACGTCAAGACACTGACTAGAATTAGTTCATCTTTGATGGAAGAAAAGAAGAAACAAAAGAGAAAACTAAGTAAGAGTGCTTTACAACATTGGAAATAGATTTAACTATAGTTATTAAGGTATAATTTACATGCCATAGAATTTACCCATGTTAAGTGTACAATTCGATGACTTTTAGTAAATTTAGAGTTGTGCGACTATCATCACAATTCAATTTTAGAATATTTCCATGATCCCCAAAAGATCCCTCATGCCCATTTGCAAGCAATCCTCATTCCCACTCCTAGCCCCCGACAACCACTAATTTATTTTCTGTCTCAATAAATCTGCCTTTTCTGGATATTTCATAAAATGGAATTATATGTGGTCTTTTATGTCTGGTTTCTTTCATTTAGCATAATGCTTTTGAGGTTCAGCCATGTTATAGGATGCATCAGTAGTTTCTTCCTTTCTATCTCAAATTGTATACCATTGTTTGCATATACCACATTTTATTTACTCACTCACCAGTTCACAGACATTTGGATTGTTTTCACTTTTTGGCTTTTATGAAGCCACTTTTTGGCTGCTATGAACACACATGTATGAGTCTGTGTGGATGCACATTTTCATTTCTTTTAGGTAGATACCTAAGAGTAGAATTGCTAGGTCATTTATTTCTCTATTGCTGGTAAATATATGTTTAACTTTTTAAGAAATTGTTAATTTATTTTCCAAGTGATAGCACCATTTTAAATTCCCATCAACAGCGTATCAGGGTTCCAGTTTCTCCACATCCTCAAGAACACTTGTTGTTGGTCTGTCTTTATTATAGCCTTTCTAATAGGGGTGAAGTGGTATATCATTGTGGTCTTAGTTTCCATTTCCCTAATGACTAATGACGTTGGTCTGTCTATTATAGCCTTTCTAATAGGTGTGAAGTGGTATATCATTGTGGTCTTAGTTTCCATTTCCCTAATGACTAACGACGTTGAGCATTTTTTCATGTGCTTATTAGCCATTCCTATATCTTCTTTGATGAAATATTGATTCAAATACTTACTCATTTTTATAATTGAGTTTTAAGAGTTCTTTATATTTTCTGGATTCATGTCCATTATCAGAAAAGTGATTTGCAAATACTTTCTCCCAGTCTGCGGCTTGTGTTTTCATTTTCTTAATGGTGTCTTTGGAGCCCAAAAGTTTAATTTTGATGAAGTCTAACCAATTTATCTATTTTTTCTCTTATGGATTATGGTTTTAGTGTTGTTTTAAGAACATGTATCAATCATGGTTCAACCAGAGAAGCAGAACCGGTAGGAGATTATATATAATCTATCAGTCTATCTCTATCTTATAGCAAAGTATGTTGGAGAATACACTTTGTATTATTTCAATCCTTTTAAATTTATTGGGACTTTTTTTATCGCTTATCATGTGGTCTATCTTGGAGAATGTTCCATGTGTGCTTGAAAAGAATATATATTCTGCTGTTGTTGTGTGGTGTTTCATAGTTGGTTTATACTGTTGTTCTAGCCTTCTCTCTATATATCCTTACTGATTTTCTGTCTAGTTGTTCTATCGCTTATTGAGAATGGGATATTGAACTCCCCAACTATTATTGTTGAGTTGTCTATTTCTCTCTTTAATTCTGTCAGTTTTTGCTTTATTTTAAGGCTCTGTTGTGAGATGCATATATGTTTATAATTGTCATAGCTTCCTGATGAACTGATTCTTTTATCATTATAAAATGTCCCTTGTTGTCTCTAGAAGCATTTTTTGTCTTAAAGTCTATTTTGTCAGATATTAGTATATTCTTTCCAGCTCCCCTGTGGTTACTATTTGAAAACTTGAATCTAGGATATGTGGTTTTCAGTTGGATCTTGTGGGTTTTTTTTAAAAAATACAATCTGGCAATATCTGACTTTTGATTGGAATGTTTAATTCATTCATATTTAATGTAATTATTGATATGGTTGGATTTATACTTGCCATTTTGCTGCTCATTTTCTATATGTCTCATATCTCTTTTGCTCTCTTCTTCTTTTACTGGTTTCTGCGTTAAATACAAATTTTCTAGTGTACCATTTTAATTCCATTTTTTCTCATATTTTCAGAGTAATTTTCTTAGTGGTTGCCCTAACAATTGCAGTATACGTCTTAAATTATTACAGTCTGCTTCAGACTAGTAGTAATTTAATTCCAGAAAAATATAGAATCTTTGCTCCAATAGCTCCATTCTCTTGCCCTCTTTTGTGTTTTGTCATAAATATTATATATTTATGTGTTATAAGCGAGCAATATAGTTTTATAATTATTGTTTTATATGACTGTCTTTTTAATCAGGTAAGAGAGGAAAAGGAAAAATATGTTTTTACTGTCTTTCTTATTTACCTACATATACTGGTGTTTTTTATTTCTTCATGTGAATTTGAGTTATCCTCTGGTGTTATTTCCTTCCAACCTGAAGGACTTCTATAGTATTTATTTTGTGTGTGTGTGTGTGTGTGAGGAAGATTGGCCCTGAGCTAACATCTGTTGCCAATGTTCCTCTTTTTCCAGGGAAGATTGTTCCTGAGCTAACATCTGTGCCAATCTTTCCTCTATTTTATGTGGGATGCCACCACAGCATGGCTTGATGAGCAGTGCAAGGTCTGCTCCCAGGATCTGAACCCGTGAACCCTGGGCCACTGAAGTGGAGAGTGCCAACTTAACCACTACACCACCAGACTGGCCCCTCTTTAGTATTTCTTGTAAGGCAGGTCTACTAGCAACAAATTCTTGTAGTCTTTGGTTATCTGGGAATGTCTTTATTTCACCTTCATTTTCTAAGACTACTTTTTTAAGGTAGTTTTAGATTTAGAGAAAAATTGAAAAAATAATACAGAGTTCCATATTCTGCCCATAGTTTCCCTTATTATTAAGATATTATTATGATACATTTGCTATAATTAACAAACCAAAATTAATACATTATTAACTCACGTCCATAGTTTATTCATAATTCCTTGTTTTTACCCTGTCCTTTTTTTGTTTCAGGATCCCATCCTGGGTACCATATTACATTTAGTTGTCATATCTCCTTAGGCCTTCTTGTCTGTGACAGTTTCTCAGACTTTTCCTTGTATTCGATGTTCCTGACAGTTTTGAGGAGTACCAGTCATTTACATTGTAAGATGCCCCTCTATTGGAATTCGTCTGATGTTTTTCTTATGTTTATGCTGGGTTTATAGATTTTTGGGAGAAAGGTCACAGAGGTAACATACTGTTGTCATCATATAATTTCAAGGGTACATATCATCAAATGATTTATAACTCGATGTTGACCTTGATCACTTGGCTAAAGTAGTGCTTGTCAGGTTTCTCCATTGCAAAGTTACTCTTTTTCCTCATCTTCCATACTGTACTCTTCAAAAGGAAGTCTATATATGCAACCCACACTTCAGGAATGGGGAGTTATGCTACCCTTCCTTTAGGATGGAGTATCTCTCTATATAAATTATTTGAAGTTCCTATGCACAAGAGTTTGTCTCTTCTTCCCCATTTATTAATTTTTACAACTATTTATTTATATCAAAATGAACACACGGATATTTATTTTACACTTTGGGTTACAATCTAATACCACTTTATTTTCTTGCTCAAGTTGTTCTGGCTTTGGCCATCAGGACCTCTTTCAGTTGGTTCCCGTGCCACTTTGACATACCCCCACCAATGAGGTTTTTTCTTTTTCTTTTTTTTTTTAAAGATTTTATTTTTTTTCCTTTTTCTCCCCAAAGCCCCCAGTACATAGTTGTATATTCTTCGTTGTGGGTCCTTCTAGTTGTGGCATGTGGGATGCTGCCTCAGCGTGGCTTGATGAGCCGTGCCATGTCCACGCAGGATTCAAACTGGTGAAACCCTGGGCCGCTGAAGCGGAGCGCATGAACTTAACCACTCGGCCACAGGGCCGGCCCCATCTTTGAATATTTTTAATGCCCCCTTTCTCTTCTCTTCTTCCGGGACTTCTATTTCTTGTACATTGGTATGTTTGTTGGTATCCCATAACTCTCTGAGGCTTTGTTCATTTTTCTTTATTCTTTCTCCTCCCTGTTCTTCAGATTAGACAATCTCTACTAACCTAGTGTCAGGTTTGCTAGTTATTTTCTTTTTTCAGTTCAAATCTGCTGTTGGGCCTTTTTGGTGAATTTTTCATTTGAGTTATTGTACTTTTCAACTCCAAATTTTCTACTTGGTTTTTCTAATTTCCACCTCTTTATTGCTATGTTCTATTTGATGAGTAATTGTCATCATACTTTCTTTTTATTTTAAAATATGGTTCCCTTTAGTTCTTTGAACATGTTTATAATCGCTTCTTTTGAAGTCTTTTCTCTGATAAGTCCAATCTCTGGCTTCCCCCAACCCTGATTCCTGAGACAATTTCTATTGACTGCTTTTTTCTCCTGTTTATGGGTCATACTTTCCTGTTTCTTTGCATGCTTCTTATATCTTGAAAACTGGACATTTGAGATAACATATTGTAGCAATTCTGGATTCTGATTCTCCCCACAACCTCCAGGGTTTGTTTTTGTTGTTTTTTGGTTTGTTTTTTAGAGACTTGCCTGGACTAATTCAGTGGAGTCTGTCTCCCCCACAGTGTGCAGCCACTGTTATCACTGACCAGTTATTTTTTTTCTTTTTTCATTTTTTTATTTTTAAGTATGAATTTCTAGGGATCACCTTTGGGTCAACATAGCTTAATGGTCAGTCAATGCTTAGCCAATCATTAATTGATCCAGATTGATGCAGTAAGGCTTCTACTCTTTGCTAATGGATTTGCGTATGAGTTAAGGAAATATTGTTTTATCTCTTTTTATTTATTTATTTTTTTGTGAGGAAGATTGGCTCTGAGCTAACATCTGTTGCCAATCCTCTTTTTGCTTGAGGAAGATTGTTGCTAAGCTAACATCTGTGCCAATCTTCCTCTACTTTATGTGGGATGCCGCCACAGTGTGGCTTGATGAGCAGTGCTAGGTCTGTGCCCAGGATCCCAACCTGTGAACCCTGGGCCGCCCCGGAAGCCGAGCATGAAAACTTAACCACTACCTGTCACTGGGCTGGTCCAAGGAAGTATTGTTTTAGACAATGCCCTTAGGCATGGATTTTTCCACACTTTGTTCCAGATCCAATCAGCCCCCTCAGGCAGTTGGGCTGTCAATCCTCACAGCCTGCCTCACTCTGGTGGAACCACCAGGCCATGAGGCTGGGGAGTTGGAGGTGGAAGCGGTTCCAGGCTAAAACATCACAGACTTCCACTGTTTTTACTGAAGTTCAGTAATTTTTCTTGAATAAGTGCTTCTCTATTTGTTGTGTGCCTCTGGTCAATTTCCAAAGTCTTAACATGATTGGTTTCAACAGTTTTGTCAAGTTTTATCATTGCTTTTCTGGGAAAAAATTTGCTGAGTTTCTCATTCAGCCATTCTAGAAGTCCCTTCAAGTATTTGACTTTTGTATGTTCTTTTGTGACCCTTTTGAAAGAACCAAGGTTAGCTTTGATTCAGAAGAGGGAGAAAAGCGGGGCTGGCCTCGTGGCCGAGTGGTTGTGCGCTCCGCTTTGGCAGCCCAAGGTTTCACTGGTTCAGATCCTGGGCGTGAATCTAGCACCATTCATCAAGCCATGCTGAGGTGTCATCCCACATAGCACAACCAGAAGAACCTACAACTAGAATATATAAATATGTACTGGGGGGTTTTGGGGAGAAGAAGGAAAAGGAGAGAGAGAGAAGATTGGCAACAATGTTAGCTCAGGTGCCAATCTTAAAAAAAAAAAAAAGAGAGGGAGAAATGAAAGACAGGAACCCAAGAAAGAAAATAGAAAACACCAAGCATAATCAAAGCCAATGGAAAGTTTTGGTTTACATTATGTCTAATCCCAAACTTGTAACTGAAGGTAAATCGAGGTCACTGCTCAGTTCTACTCCTAAACCCTGGAAACAGACGTTCCAGTGATTGTAGGAAAAGAGTCATTCTTTTAAAAATCATACTATTTATTTTGGAGCCAAGGTTTTCCAATGAATCTTTATCCTATAGCTATCTGTTAATTTAGGCTAAATTCCTTAGGCTTAAGCATAGATAGAGCACAACACAAAAGAAGAAATGCAATCCATTATTTTATATATTTTTTTCTTCTAGCATCTAGAAGTATTCTATGGAAATCTTGGAAAGACAGAGTTATAAAGCGACCTGCAACAGCCCATGCTTTAAGACCAGATCAGATGATTAGCGATGAATTTGCAACAAATATCAAGGTTTCAGAAATCCAAGATATGCTACAGGAACTCATAGGCACTGCAATGTTCAACAAATTGGAAAACAATGCTATTAAATATATATCATCAACAATAGCAAACCTTTCTACAGCTTTGAGTAGAGTAAATGAGGAAGTAAAATTTTTTAACTTTCAAACTGCCAATATGTATACAAGTGAGCTAAGTGAAAGACAAAAGGAGCTCTCCCTGAAGATAATACAAGATCTCAGTGAAAAAAATGAAATACTTCAGCAGCAACTTCAAGAAACAGAACAAAAATATGAACAATTTATTCGATCTAAAGGTGTGGTAGAACAGCAAGTATATACAGCATTACCCACATCAACCTTGAAAGTGTTACCGGAGCCTTCTCCACAATCATCTACAGTCATTAGCAAAGTTGATATAGAAGACAGAATGGACAATATTTTGGCCAAAGAATTTGAAAATGTTGTAGATGATGTCCAAAGAACAGGGACAAAAGCCTCAGCGATCAAGTGGGACTCAACTATTTCACATACAGGCCAAGTTGAGATGACTTCAGATTTAACTGAACAGCAACAGCATTTACCTGGAAAAAAAAAGAAAAAGTCTCCTGAAGATGTTACTGAAGATAAGATATCACTGAAGAAAGGTGATGTCTATCAGAAAGATGGGACTGACCTGTATCAATCACAGAAAAGAAAGCACACAAGAGGCTCATCCATGCATGAGACCTCTGGATCAAATCTGAGTGATGATAAAGGTAAATACAAAGACTTGGAGACCAAACTTGATCACCACTCTGAACTGCAAGCACTGGAAAAGAAGAAGAAAGAAGGAAAATCCTCTTTTGAAACCAAATCAAAGTCACCCATTGAATCAAAAAGGCAACGTGTCCCTGATGACTACCCTTCTACTAACACAAATATCAAAGGTGGCAAAAGTGGAACAAGTAGTATGTGGGATCAACCCAAGAAGGTCAAACCTGAACGCTCACTTGACAAAAGCCAAATTTCTTCGGAGACTAAAGAGGAACCCACCACTGAGTCAATGGACAAAAAGAGCAAACGTGAGAAGAGTAGTCAAGCAGAGCCATCCAGGTTGACCCAACTTGGTTATTCCTCTGAGAAAGTGAAAACAACAGGAAAGAAACATCCAATATCTTTAGGAACCACCACAAGCAAAGAAGGAATAATTGAAGAGAAGGATGTGTTAGTCAACAAGAAAGTCAAGTCTCAGGAACTTGTTAAATCACGATCTAGGACAACTAAAGAGACTTCAGAATCTACCAGCGCTTTAGGAAGTCTAGATGGCAAAAGTGAACAGAGTAACCTAGAAGAATTTCAGAAAGCCATAATGGCTTTCCTAAAAGAGAAAATTGATAACATAGGAAAGCCTTTGGATAAAAAGACTGTGCCAAAAAAGGAGTCATTATTAAAAAGAGCAGAAGTTGAAAAATTAGGAATCATAAAGGCAAAAATGGAGGAATATTTCCAAAATGTGGCTGAAACTGTGACAAAAATCTTGAGAAAATACAAAGATATAAAAAATGCAGAACAAGTTGGAGAGAAACCTCTGAAACAAAGAAAGGTAGCCTCATTTATGCCAGGACTGCATTTTCAGAAGCCAACTAGTGAAAAGTCTGAAATTAGCACATTACTCTCAGATAAGAGCATGGACCCAGTAATTGGCAATTTAATACAAATGATCTTAACTGAAATAGAAACCAAAAGAGATGTTCCAGTAGACTCAATAGGAGAGAGAGATCACAAGGAGAAGGAAGAACAAAGGCAGGAGGAATATTTGCAAGATGATCAAGAAAAAATTTTTGGTATGAGTCTCAAAAACCAGTTGGAAGAAAGGAATCTCTGGAAGAAGAGCCATGAAATGATAAATAAGGATTTGGAGAAGGAAGAGGCATGGCTCCAGAAGAAGGAGGGAAAGCAAGGGCAACAGGAGCAGAAACAGTGGCAGGAAGTAGAGGTGTGGAAGGAACAGCGAGAACAGAGGATGCAAAAGCGGATTAAGCAAGACAAGAAGCAAAAGCAAAGGGAAGAGGAGGAAGAAGAGCATCAGAAGCCAAAGCAGCAGCAGCTGGAAGCACGGAAGCAAAAAATGAAAGAGCAAGGGGTACCCTTGGAGAAGGACAAGGAACAGCAGACGAGGCAGGTTCAGAAGAAAGTGAGACATCTGGAGGTGGAAGGCAGTTCAGAGAAAGAGCAGGGGGAGCAGAAGCCAAGGAGAAAGATAAAGGACCATGAAAGGCAGGAGCAGAAAAAAGCAAAGGATCAGATGAAGATTAAGGAGAAAAGCTCTGAAGAACTAGAAAAGATGTTCAGCCAAACTTCAGAGACGTCTCCCAAGTGGAAGAGCATACAGAAAGACACATCTCAGTTATATCAAAGAGAAGAGTTCCATGGGAATCTAATGACATTAGATATTCTTGCTGATGGAAAGCACCCCACACCAATCACTCCACCCGCCTCCACACAATCTTCCTCACCTGGAGCCTTTCCTATTTCTGGACAGTCTCCCAAAAAGTCTATCACTCTTACCACTCAGCAGGCCCAGGCACTGGGGATAAGTGTCACCCCTCAGCAGGCCCAGACACTGGGGATCAGTCTCAGCCCTCAGCAGGCCCAGACACAGGGCATCAGTCTCACCCCTCAGCAGGCCAAGACAAAGGGCATCAGTCTCACCCCTCAGCAGGCCCAGACACAGGGCATCAGTCTCACTCCTCAGAAGGCCCAGGCACTGGGGATCAGTCTCACCCCTCAGCAGGCCAAGACACAAGGCATCAGTCTCACCCCTCAGCAGGCCCAGACACAGGGCATCAGTCTCACCCCTCAGCAAGCCCAGACACAGGGCATCAGTCTCACCCCTCAGCAGGCCCAGACACAGGGCATCAGTCTCACCCCTCAGCAGGCCCAAACACAGGGCATCGGTCTCAGCCGTGAGCAGGCTCAGGCACTGGGAATCGGTCTCACCCCTCAGCAGGCTCAGGCACTGGGCATCACTCTCACCCCTGAGCAGGCCCAGACACTGGGGATCAGTCTTACCCCTCAGCAGGCCCAGACACAGGGCATCAGTCTCACCCCTCAGCAGGCCCAGACACAGGGCATCGGTCTCAGCCCTGAGCAGGCTCAGGCACTGGGAATCGGTCTCACCCCTCAGCAGGCTCAGGCACTGGGCATCACTCTCACCCCTCAGCAGGCCCAGACACTGGGGATCAGTCTCACCCCTCAGCAGGCCCAGACACAGGGCATCACTCTCACCCCTCAGCAGGCTCAGACACTGGGGATCACACTCACCCCTCAGCAGGCCCAGACAGAGGGCATCAGTCTCAGCCCTGAGCAGGCTCAGGCACTGGGGATTAGTCTCACCCCTCAGCAGGCCCAGACAGAGGGCAGTAGTCTCACCCCTCAGCAGGCTCAGGCACTGGGCATCACTCTCACCCCTGAGCAGGCCCAGACACTGGGGATCAGTCTTACCCCTCAGCAGGCTCAGGCACTGGGGATCAGTCTCACCCATGAGGAGGCCCAGGCACTGGGCATCACTCTCACCCCTGAGCAGGCCCAGACACTGGGGATCAGTCTCACCCCTGAGCAGGCCCAGGCACTGGGGATCAGTCTTACCCCTCAGCAGGCTCAGGCACTGGGGATCAGTCTCACCCATGAGGAGGCCCAGGCACTGGGCATCACTCTCACCCCTGAGCAGGCCCAGACACTGGGGATCAGTCTCACCCCTCAGCAGGCCCAGTCACAGGGCATCACTCTCACCCCTCAGCAGGCTCAGGCACTGGGGCTCAGTCTCACCCCTCAGCAGGCCCAGGCACTGGGGATCAGTCTCAGCCCTCAGCAGGCCCGGGCACTGGGGATCAGTCTCACCCCTGAGCAGACCCAGGCACTGGGCATCACTCTCACCCCTGAGCAGGCCCAGACACTGGGGATCAGTCTCACCCCTCAGCAGGCCCAGACACAGGGCATCACTCTCACCCCTCAGCAGGCTCAGGCACTGGGGATCAGTTTCACCCCTCAGCAGGCCCAGGCACTGGGGATCAGTCTCAGCCCTCAGCAGGCTCAGGCACTGGGGATCAGTCTCACCCCTGAGCAGGCCCAGACACAGGGCATCAGTCTCGCCGCTGAGCAGACCCAGACACAGGGCATCAGTCTCACCCCTGAGCAGGCCCAGACACTGGGTATCAGCCTCACCCCTCAGCAGGCCCAGACACAGGGCATCAGTCTCACCCCTCAGCAGGCCCAGACACAGGGCATCAGTCTCACCCCTCAGCAGGCTCAGACACTGGGGATCAGCCTCACCCCTCAGCAGGCCCAAGCACAGGGCATCAGTCTCACCCCTCAGCAGGCACAGGCACTGGGGATCAGTCTCACCCCTCAGCAGGCCCAAGCACAGGGCATCAGTCTCACCCCTCAGCAGGCTCAGGCACTAGGGATCAGTCTCACACCTCAGCAGGCCCAAGAACAGGGCATCAGTCTCACCCCTGAGCAGGCCCAGGCACTGGGCATCACTCTCACCCCTGAGCAGGCCCAGGCACTGGGCATCACTCTCACCCCTGAGCAGGCCCAGGCACTGGGAATCACTCTCACCCCTGAGCAGGCCCAGGCACTGGGGATCAGTCTCACCCCTCAGCAGGCACAGGCATTGGGGATCAGTGTCACCCCTCAGCCGGCCCCGGCACAGGGCAAGCCCCCTACTTCTGAACAGTTCAAGGCATTGGTAGTCACCCTCACCCCTGAGAAATCCCAGAGTTTGGGAGTCACACTCACCCCTGAGCAAGTTCAGGCACTGGCACCTCCTCTCACTTCTGAACAGGCTCAGTCATTGGAGGTCTCTCTCACTCCTGAGCAGGCCCAGTCACTGCAGGACCTTCTCATTCCAGAACAGGCAGAGGCACTGGTGTTTACTCTCACTCCTGAGAAAGGTCGGACTTTGGGTATCACATGTGCCCATGAACAAGCCCAGGCAGTAGATATTACCCTCACCCCTGAGCAGGCACGAGCATTGAGGGTCCCTCTTAGCCTTGACCAGGCTCGGGCAGTAAAGACCCCTCTCACTTCAGGACAGGCCTGGAAACTGGGGGTCCCTATCACTCCAGAAGTAGTTCAAGAAGTATCAAACACTCATATTCTTAAGCAGATTCAAGCATTAGGGGTTACTCCCTCCCATGAGAAGGCTCAGACACTGGGCACTCCTTCCACTCTGGATGCAGCCCAGGAATTGGGAGTCCCCACCACTCCAGAAAATGCCTGGGTGTCAGCTGTCACTCTTACCCCTGAAGAGACCTGGGCTTTGGGGGCCCCTATCACCTTAGAACGGGCTCAAGCACTGGGGTTTTCTCTCTCTCCAGAGCAGTACTGGGAATCAGGAGTCCCTCTCACCTCAGATACAGTCCATGCCTTAGGATCTCCCCTCACTCCTGAGCAAGTCCAACCTTTAGGAGCCCCCTTCACTCCAGGACAGGCCCAGCCCATGGGTACAACTCTCATGTCTGAGCAGGACCTAAAATCAAGAGCTCCTCTCCTTAATGAGCAGCCCTCGCAACTCTGGACTGGTCCTCCTTCAGGACATACCCAGGAAACTGGGATCTTTTCTAGTACTGATAAATCCGTCACACCAAGTGCTCTTTGCATTTCTAAGCAGTCCCTGACATTGGTTCCTTCCACTCTAAGACCATTTCAAGAATCAAAGGCTTCTCTCCCCTCTGGGAAATCCATTACATCAAGACCTAGGCAGTTCCCAGCATCATCTGCTCCCATTGTTGAGAAGTCCTCTATATTTGAGGTCCCTTCAACTCTTTTGCAGATATCAAAATTTCCTCCCACCCAAGCCCTTACCCAACGCCAAGGAATGAGGATCCTTTCTGACTCTGGGAACCTCCTGGCACCACAGACTTTTCCTTCTTCTAGACAGATCCAGGTTTCTAAGGATGAATCCACCCCTGTGCAGTTCTTAACACCAGAGGTCCCTCCCACTCCTAGGAAGCTCTCAATACCTGGGGTCCAGCCCAGTTCAGGGCAGCTCCTTGCATTAAAGGACCTTCTTAGCTCCAGGGAGTTCTTCACATCTAGGGACGCTCTGATTTCCCAGTCACCTCTGATAATGAAGGCCCCTTTTGTTGCCAGGCAGCCACTTATATCTGGAGTCCCACCTACCTCTGCACAGATTCCCAATCTCTCGGATATCTCTCCTGGGAAGCCCATGGTTCCGGAGGCCTCTTCCACCCATGAGGAGCTCCTGGAATCTGGACCCTTAACCCAATCTGAGCAGCTCCAGGCACTCCAGCCCCCTGCCACCCATGAGCAATATCCCTATCTACAAGCCCCTTATACCCTTGGACAGCATCTGGCACCATGGACTCTTCCTAGGCAAGCTTCTCCACTGTGGATCCCCCCTCCCCCTGGGCATCCCCCAACACTATGGGTCCCCTCAACCCCTGGAAAGCCCCAGAAAGATCTATCCTCTTCTGTCTCTAAGAAAAGTAAGGAAAGATTGGCAATTATTTCTTCTCTGAAATCTAAATCAGCATTGGCCCATCCCAGTGCTCCAAATGTCAAGATGAAGCAAGCCCCTTTCATCATTAAGAAGCTCCAAATATCAGAGGTCTCTGACACTTCCGAAAAAATGCAGATACGCCATGATCCTTGTGCCATGGAACAATTTAGAACATTTCAGTCTTATCTCACCAATTATAGGACACCAAAATCACAAACTTCTTACACTGGTGAGGGGGTTCTTCCCACTCTCATGAAGCCTATACCATCACTACCTTCTCTTACTGCTCAACTACCCAAAACATCACAGATCTCACCTACTGAATGGGACCAGAAATCCCGATTTCCTCCGATAGACAAGTCCTGGATGCTGACTTCAGTTTCAGGTACCAAGAAACCCAAGACGATGGTGCCCTCTTCCTCTCCCCAAGAGCTCAAAGAGCAGAGGTATTTTGTTGATGTGGAGGCTCAGAGGAAGAACTTGATACTCTTAAATCAGGCCACAAAAGCTTCTGGACTCCCTTCAGAGCTACACACAACAGCTAGGGATCTCATAATTGAAACACTTCACACGGACAAAGTTCGGCTGGGATACCTATTTCGCAAGTACATTGCCTATAGGCTCATCCAGCGTGCAAGGTAGATGTAACTATTGTATGTCTAGTTTTCTGGTTTAGTCCTGATTTCAAATATCCTCTCTCATTGCCCTAAAAGTATATACATATTTGTCAGATCAGATGTTCTAAAAGATTCTCCTATAGAAGGTCTGTGGGATAGAAGCCGATTTAAGATAGCAAAAGGAGATACATCTTTTGGGAAATAAGAAATGTCATATAACATGATCCATTTCATCCAGTTAGATTTCTAGCAGAGATGCTAAGATGTATTTTGTGGATCATCGTTGATCTCCAAAACATCAACTTCAAAAGTTTAGAGATGCTTTCAGTTATTCTGAGTTTCTTTCATATTTTTGGGTTCACCAGAAGATGTATAAACTTAAAATGGGAGATGGCAAGTTATGTACGAGGTGTTACCATGGCAACTTTGCTGCTGGAGTGACCTGGAGGAAACAGGTCCTGGTCCTCATTTTTAAAAATTGCAAATATCAGAAATAGGTCAGGGAAGGAGACAATTGGCCTGCCATCCTTAGCATTTGTGTTTGAGGTTACCAATCTATTATTTTTGGGAAAGATTTCCAAACTAAAATTATAAGATGCCAAAATAAAACCTATAATAGAAAAAGTTATTACTAATTATAGGAACAAATATGTCATTTATTCAACAACAACAAGTATTTATTGGATGCCTCCTATGTGCCAAGTGTTGTTCTAGGTGCTAGGGATACAGCAGTGAATAAAACAAAGTACCCTGTTCTCATGAAATTTACATTTTTGAGGACTGAATTCATTTGGGAACTAAGAATTGGAACAACAAGGTGCAAAAGAAAGGCTTATCCAAGATAAAATCAGAACTCAATTTCAAAGCTTAAATAATCTGAAATTTGTTGAACACTGTTTTATTCTATACTTCTCTTTGGTTTTCTCTTTTCAGACTGACTATTCCCAGTCTTTTAAATCTGTTATTACATGTAAACACTTTCATCCACTTGAGAATTTTAAATAATATGTTTCTGGTCATTCTTCAGTTCCCTTATGTCTTTTTCCCTTTGTTATATTTAAGTTAAGAAAAACAAGTAGTATATTCACCTGGTACAATATAAAAAATACAAATGGTAGAGTAAAAAGTCCCCCTAATAATCCTATCCCTGGCCACTAGGCCCCTCTCCCAGGGCTACCAATGTATGTCCATCCAGAAATATTTTCTGCATATGTAGAAAAGTACATATGCTCTTTTATCTCCCTTTTTATATACTTCAAAGTTATGATGTTTGATTCTTTTATAACTTAACTTAGATATTAGGTATTAGATAACTTAGGTATTAATATATAAAGAGCCTGCTTACTCACTTAAAGATTCATAGTATTACAAAGTTTGGATTTATCAGAATTTACTTAACCTTTAATGGATATCTATGTTGTTTTCAAGATGTTGCATTATAAAAATATACTTCAATGAACAATCTCGTATATACCTAAGTATGTATGTGTGTATCTTCCTAGAAGTAGAATTTCTGCATCAAAGGATAAGTGCTTTGTAATTGTGATAAAGTTTTGTCAAATTGTTCTCCAGAAAGGTTGTAACAATTTACATATTGGTCAACATTATGAAAGAGTATTTCCCCACATCAAGACTAACATGAAGTACTACCAATTGTTTTGTTCATTGCCGATATAATAGATGAAATATGGCATTTCATGCTTTAATTTGCGTTACTTTTATTATGGGGGAGGTTAAGCATTTTTTTTTTTTTTTAAAGATTTTATTTTTTCCTTTTTCTCCCCAAAGCCCCCCGGTACATAGTTGTGTATTCCTCGTTGTGGGTTCTTCTAGTTGTGGCATGTGGGACGCTGCCTCAGCGTGGTCTGATGAGCAGTGCCATGTCCGCGCCCAGGATTCGAACTAACGAAACACTGGGCCGCCTGCAGCGGAGCGCGCGAACTTAACCACTCGGCCACGGGGCCAGCCCCAAGGTTAAGCATTTTTTTTTCTTCTTCTTCTTCTCCCCAAAGCTCCCCAGTGCATAGTTGTATATTTTAGTTGCGGGTCCTGCTAGTTGTGGTACATGGGATGTTGCCTCAGCGTAGCTTGATAAGTGGTGCTAGGTCTGCACCCAGGATCCGAACTGGCAAAACCCTGGGCCACCAAAGCAGAGCATGCAAACTTAACCACTCGGCCACGGGACCAGCCCCGTTAAGCATCTTTTGATAGACTTAAGAGACATCTGTATTTCATTTTCTGTGAAAATTCTATTCAAATACTTTGCCCATTTTTCACTTGGGTTGTCAAGTTGCTTTTTTATTTTTCATTTTTATTTTACTTTTTTTTGAGGAAGATTAGCCCTGAGCTAGCATCCACCACCAATCTTTCTCTTTTTGCTGAGGAAGATTGGCCCTGAGCTAATATCCATGCCCATCTTCCTCTATTTTATATATGGGATGCCACCACAGCATGGCTTGATAAGTGGTGCATAGATCTGCATCTGGGATCCAAACCAGCAAACCCTGGGCTGCTGAAGTGGAGAATGCAAACTTAACCACTACACCACCAGGCCAGGCCCTCAAGTTGCTTTTTTTAATTGACTCACAGGACTTGTTCAAATATTTGGACAACTAGCCCCTTGTTTGTGATAAAAATTGCCAAGTTTCCCCCATTGGTTTGTGTTTTGACTCTGTTTTGGTGGTTTTCTGTAGAAAATGTATACTTTGTAGAAATTTTTTATTTCTATGTGTTTACATCAATTTTTTTTAAAGATTTTATTTTTTCCTTTTCCTCCCAAAGCCCCCTGTACATAGTTGTATATTTTTAGTTGTGTGTCCGTTCCACTTGTGGCGTGTGGGATGCCGCCTCAGTGTGGCTGGATGAGTGGTCCCATGTCTGCACCCAGGATTTGAACTGGCAAAATCCTGGGCCACTGAAGTGGCGCATGGGGCTGGCCCTTACATCGATATTTTAATAATGCTTTGTACCTTATTTAGAAAGGCCCTCTCTGCTCTGAGAATATAGAAAAATTCTTTCTAGGTTTCTTTTAGTACTTTTATGGTTGGTTATTAGTTTTTTTGTTTGTTTTACATTTAAGTCTTTGATTCACAGCTTTTTGTTGTGAGATATGGATCTGACTTTTTTTCCACCCAGCTACCCAGTGGCCTCATTACTACTTACAAAATAATCTACCTTTTCTGCTACTGATTTGAATGTACCTTCATCAGAAATTCTTGTATCATTTAGGTCCGTATCTAGACTCTATTATTGTTTATTGATTACACGTAGATGAGCCACTTCTATTCTGTGTTATTTATTTTAGTTTTATTTTTCTGATGCTGAGTCTTTGTGGTAAGCATTAGTTCTGTTTGCTAGTACTTGTCAATGATGTGTGAGCAGAACTGATGTGCGCCATTTCTGTGCAAAGCTTGTCATTGCTAGTTTGAGACCCTCCAGAGTCTCCTTTTCCTCTGGCGTGATAGCCTACAACGTTCAAGGTGATTGCTGTTCTGTTAGCCTATGTCCCTGAGAATATACAATGAAGCTCACTCCCTGCCGAGCCATGATAGATTTGTAATATGAGACACAAGTAAAATTTGTTGTTTTTACCAACTGAGATTTGGGGATTATTTGCTAAGACAGTAAAATCTAGCTTATCTTCGTTAATCCAGTCTTCCTATCCTAGACTGTGTATACCTTTCCTTTTGTTCAGGTTGTGTATGTGTGTCCTTCAGGAGCATTTTAGTTTTCATCTAGCTCTTGCATATTCTTCCATCGGTGTATATCCTGGTAGTTTTTATTTTTGTTGTTGTTGTTACTATTGTAAATGGACTCTCTTCTATGATATCTTCTAACTCGTTGTTATTTGTATAAATGAAGCCTAGATTTCTCTACATCAATTTTGTATGTAGCTGTCTTACCTTATTCAAGCATGCGAAAAATTTTCAGTTGATATTCTTGAGTTTTCCAAGTACATAATCATTATTACCTGCAACTAATAATTTTTTACATCTAGATTTTCCAACTTTTTTTTTTTTTTTTTTTTTTTTTAAAGATTTTATTTTTTCCTTTTTATCCCCAAAGCCCCCCGGTACATAGTTGTGTATTCTTCGTTGTGGGTTCTTCTAGTTGTGGCATGTGGGACGCTGCCTCAGCGTGGTCTGATGAGCAGTGCCATGTCCGCGCCCAGGATTCGAACTAACGAAACATTGGGCCGCCTGCAGCGGAGCGCGCAAACTTAACCACTCGGCCACGGGGCCAGCCCCTAGATTTTCCAACTTTTAAACATCTCATTTCTGTCTGTTGACCACCTGAATTGGTTAGTACTTCAAGAACTATGTTAAAAAAAATACCAGTGATATGGCTACAAGACCATCGTTGTTCATTTGATTTGCCTTGAGTAACAGCTAAGAGTGCCTATCCATTGCCCTGTTACTTTTTTCTAGGAAAAATTAATCTTCAAGAGTGTTTAAAAGAGTCACTTACATTTATATTCTCCTTTCTGAAAAAGTTGCAAAACATCCTTAACCTTAGTCAATTTCTTTTTTTGTTGTTAAAAACATAGTGATGATAGTAGACATCTTTCTAGTTTTTGTCATTAAGAAAAATGCTGGCTTTGGGGTTGAAATACATTTTATCATATTAAAGAATTATCTATCTGCTCAGTTCATTACGGGGATTTTTCCTCCCCAAAATCCCAGTACATAGTTATTTTTTTTTTAGTTGTAAGCTCTTCTAGTTCTTCTGTGTGAGCCACTGCCACAGCATGGCTACTGACAGACGAGTGATGTGGTTCCGTGCCCGGGAAAAAAACCAGGCCACCGAAGCAGAGTGCACCAAACTTTAACCAGTAGGCCATCAGGGCTGGCTCTACTATGTTTTTTTTAAATCAAGAATGGATGTTGAATTTTGTTAAATTTGTTAAATCACATTTTGTTAAATGTAATTTCAGCACTTCATTTTCATGTGTATTAAAGAAAATATGATTCTCCCCTCAGATCTATTAATATGATTAATTATATTAAACCATCATTGCATCC